CAAATTTTGGTCTTTTTTTTTTTGGTGCCACACCTGGTCATGTTCAAGGCTTACCTCGGCTCTGTGCTCAGGGGTCACTAGTGGTATGGGGGCTTGGAGGGTCACACTGGAGAACCAACCCAGGTAGGCCATATGCAAGGCAATACCCTACCAATGGACTATATATCTCTGTTCTTGATATTTTTTTCTTTAAATGTTGCCTAGGTGATTTTAATGAGGAAAAAGTGTTGAAACTCTTTATACACTGAAATAGAATATAATTCCTTTAGGGATATAATTGTATATGATACCTTGTTTTCCTTTAATTCCCGCAGTGGTAAGCACAAACCTAGATGATAGATAGATTATGCTGATTGGCACCTTTTTGTTGTTGTTTTGTTTTTTTTAAAGAGAAAAGAAAAAGACAATTGGGGAAGACAGTCATGATAAGATGGGCTCCTCAGGTTCACTTGAGATCTGTTCAGGTCTTTATGAAACACACTATGAGTCCCTAGGGATCTTTTACATTAAGTGAGTTCTCTCTAACAGTTCTTTTTGTGTCACTGTTTAACCACTTACTAAAATTGGAAAACATCATTAGCGTCAAGATTTTGCATTGAAAAATACTAGTTTAGCTAGAGGTGTGTTCTTACAACACAGCATTTTTTGTTTTGTCCCAGAATTTATATGATGTGTTTGGCCAGTACCTTCTGTTCATTATGTTACCAACCCCAATATACATGAATAAGACGATATCCCAAACTATTTGAAAATAACATGTCTTAGTCACATTAGAGGTATGTCAAGTTATGAGTCATGGCCATTGCATATCAGCATATTCTACAACTGGTGCTATCTGCTTAAAATTCTGGATTTAGGGCCGAAGCAATAGTACAGCAGGTAAGATATTTGCCTTGCACACTGCCGATCTGAATTCAATCTCCAGGATCCCATATGGTCCCCCAAGCACTGCCAGAAGTAATACCTGAGTGCAGAGCCAAGAGTAACCCCTGAGCACCACTGGGTTTGACCCAAAAAGAAAAAAAATCTGAATATATGAGAGAAATCTAGAAAGTTTGTAGAATATTAATAGGTGAAAGGTTCCGTAATTTTTCATGCTTGAGATGTCTTTGGAAATGTGACCTCAACTGAAGGAGGAATAAACATTTACTCTGCTTTGTTTGCTTTGGGTTCACACCCTGCAGTGCTCAGAGTTTACACCTGTCCCTGTGCTCAGTGGACACTTAGCTGTTCTCTTGGGGACCATGTGAGATGTTGGGGACTTGAGCTGGGTTAGACCCAGGCAAGGTAAGTCACTACCTCTGTTACTTAGGCCTGAAAAATGAAAAGTAAACAAATGGGATCAATTAAACTGACCAGCTTTTGTAATGCAAAAGAAATTATAAACAGCAAAATGAAGACAACCTTAGTGGAAGAAGATATTTGTACATCTTGTAAGGCTTAATGTCTGGGGCATATAAGGAACTCATACAACTTAACAACCAAAAAACCCAAGCAGTGCAACAAAAAAATGGGCAGATTTTAAAATGTGTTTGAAGAGAATACAGATGACCAATAGGCATAATTAAAGATGTTTATTATCTTTTAAGCTTAAAGATTATAAGCTGCCATGCTCCAGGTCACTTTCCAGACAATAGGGCAGAGCCTCACACATGAATGAAGTCCCATGGGACCCAGGTAATGTGGAACTTTGTGACCTTAGACTCTGGGCTCAACAGGACCCGGGAGCAGAGATCCTCTGCCTGCTTCCCCCAGTCTTCAGTGACCCAGGGGTCACATCCATCAACCACTCCCCGCCGGTGTCAGATAACCTCCTCATGGGCCACCCTCCAGAACTTATCAGGTGTTTCTCCTGGAAGGGAACATAAAATGAGGCTCCCATAACCATGCGAACAGACTTCATGCCAGGCTATTTTCACTTGGAGCGCCCCAGAGTGGGGCAGATGAGAGCCCTCCCCACCCCAAGGGACCTGGCCCCAGAAGCCTACCTCCACTACCAAACCACCACCATGCTCTAGGCTGCTTTCTGGGCTGTGACACATCATAAGACACTTCCTACCCATTTTCCATAATTACCAAACCACATTTGATGGGTTTCAGACATTAGGCAACAAATCATAGAAATTTGGAGAGTCCGGCAAGCTACTGAGAGTATCCTGCCCCCCACAGGCAGAGCCTGGCAAGCTCCCTGTGGCGTATTCGATATGCCAAAAACAGTAATGATAACAGGTCTCATTCTCCTGACACTGAAAGAGCTCCAATCTTTGGGAAAGATAAGTAAGAAGAGGCTGCTAAAATCTCAGGGCTGGGAGGAATGGAGATGTTACTGGCACCCGCTCGAGTAAATCAACGAACAACAGGATAATAGTGATACAGGGAAGCTTAATATAGATGACCAGGGAAAAGCAAATTAGAATTTCACAACTGTGAACATGTTTGACTTAATTAAAAAGAAAGCAGCCAAGTTGGAGAAGTGTGGAGAAAAAGGAAGTCTGCACATGACATTATTGGTGGGACTTTACTAATCTACTGACACACTTCATTGATGCAACCACTTTGTAAAACTGTGGAGTCTCCTCAAGAAGCTAAAATTGAAGCTACCATTTCATCCAGCAATTCTACTTTCTAGGTATTTATCTTGCCAAAGAATATGAAAACATTGACCGAAAGTGTCACATCCATTCCAATATTATTTCAGTATTATTTACAATAGCTAAAGTATAGCGATGACAGAAGTGGTTGTTGATAGATGACTAGGTAAACATATGGTATATTTCTGGAATATTATTTGGCAGTTTTTTTTTCAAAAAGAAATTTTCTTAGTGACAGCAAAATGGTAGTTGGATGAGTGATAAGAAACAAAATAAGTTAAAGGGGGAAAAAGGCAATTATTTGGGTATTTTCACCCTTAAATGTAATACAACTGCATAAAACTGATGAACAGCAAAAATGAAAGATTAACCAGTGAATATTGACAATTGAATTAAGTTTACCCAAGGGAAGGGCAGGTAGGGGTGTAAGAAAACAAGGAGGTATAAGCACAGGTGATGGGTTTCATTTGTAACATATAAACTACAAAAGAAGGAGAAAGAAATGCAGAGAGAGTTGTTTGGTAAGAGAGATCTGGAAGCCTGGGGCAATGGAAGCCCCACCTGCCCAGTGGCCCCACTGAAAAAGAAGTTTCCTGCTAAGACTCTGCTTCTGATTTAAGAGAGAACTCTGTGTGTCTTATATCACTTCACATGGGAGCTTGAGTTCTTATTACTCAATCTTCCTTTAACCAAAGCTGTGGAGTACACTGGGGACACAACCTCCTTGGTAAACATAGCATTTGCAAACTTTATTTTCTTAAAAAAAAGGTAGGGGGCACACATGGTGGTGCTCAGGTTACTCCTAGCTCTGAACTCAGGAATGACTCCTGTTGGGGCCCAGAATATCATATGGGATACCGGGGGTTGAACCTGTTCAGTCCCCTGCAAAGCAAACACCGTACCCACTATACTAACTCTTATCCCCTTTGCAAACTTTCTTGTGGGTGCAAATCTGGTAGACCAGAGTTGACAGGGTTTTATTGGCATGGCTAAGCGGCCTTCACTAGTAGCATTCTTTTAGAAATTCAGCTGGTACCTGATCCATTAACACTGGACAGTTCACAGACAAGAACTGCTACCAAAGTTCCTTTGGAGACATGTCTTGGGCTGTTTTCTTTGTTGCTTGCCCTTCTGGCTTTCCAGTCTCATTTGTGGTAGGGGTATTGAGGCTGCCTCACGAACAACAAATTTCATAGGGAAGACAACTCACATTTTCTCATCCCTAATCTGCTGCTTATGGTGTGGAAACCATAGGCTCTCTCTTTTCAGTGACACATTTCTATACTTCCCTCTCTTTGCCAGTCGCGGGCTAGTTTCCTTCTTATATCACATATAGAAGAACACAGAAACAGCTTCATACTAACACAGAGGATCTTTTCAAACAAAACTGAACCTTAGTGCCATTTGCCCAGTGAATCCTATTGTATAACAATTCCTCCATTATCTGACCCACCCACCTCAATACATAAAGCCTTGATGTACTCAAATGTGCTGTGTGAATTCTAGCGTCTCTTACAAATAGCAAATAAGAGATGTGTGTTTGTTTATGACTCGGTGTGACTTTAGCATAATCTTCCTTGTACCTTAAAATGCAAATCTCTCTTTCTGGCAAATTCCATTTAAATGCTGGGGACATGTGGATCAACATGTGAGCCAATACTTTCGTGTAACTGTTGGTAGTCTTCCAGACTACTAAGAAAATTGTTCTTCATTGGTAATACAGCAATGGCTGAGGGTGAGGTGGGAGAAGGACAGACTGTTAATATTTGGTGCATATTGATACGCTGGAGCGATAGCACAGCGGTAGGGCGTTCGCCTTACAAGCAGCCAACATGGCCAACCTGAGTTCGATTCCTCCGCCCCTCTCGGAGAGCCCGGCAAGCTACTGAGAGTATTCGATATGCCAAACACAGTAACAACAAAGTCTCCAATGGAGATGTTACTGGGCCCGCTCGAGCAAATCGACGATCAACGGGAGGGCCTTTACCTTATCGATACGTTATGAGAATTAACAGCATAAGGTCCTCAGCTTATAGTTGGACTTTGATTTTTCAACTTGATGGTGTGAAAGCAGTTGACTCCACAGAAATCAAACTATCATGCACTCCCATGATGAAGGGTAGTGGACTATAGTTCTTAGTGTTTTCAACTGATGGTGGGTTTACTGGCAATGTATACCCCTTATGGAAGAAGCAGAAGATCAATAGTTTTATAGTCTGGGGGTTTCAGTTCATTTTCATGTAAGTTGTGTCAATAAGGTGCATACAAAGGACAATTTATCCCTTGATTGATTTGTCTTCATGTTTCTACAGCTATTCAGGGTTATTTGACGCCTATTTTTTTTTTTTATCACAAAGCATAATTCTGTAGCACTTCATTTATATTGGAAGGAAACAAATTATGCCAAACTTCTCCAACAATCTGGAATTTTATTCCATCCATATACATGCATAGTAACAACATTTGTTGAGAAATTATTTCTATCAGAAGTAGAACATTATCTCTGCGATCACCAGGTGCAGTATTGCTACTCTTATATTTAAATAGATCTTAATATGAATTAAATTCATACTTGCAGCATTGAGTTTAGGGTTTCGATTTAGACTGTGCCTTTCAAAAGATAAAACTGATTAATACTACCTCATTACTTACAATACTGCTTCCAGTAATTTTGTTCATTCTTTATAAAGTATTGCATTTAACAGCAAAGGTTTAAAAATTGGAACAGCTGCATCAGCGAAAGAAAATACAAGTACTATACAAGAAAAAAATTGCCATCTTCATTTAACATACATGTTTAAGATTAAGAAAATGGACAAACATACGGCTACATACAAATGCAAAGCCTAGTGACTACGGGACTGTATCTGCTAAAATATAACGTGCAAATGGAGCCTGATTATCCCAGAATTGAAATCTTAAGGCGAACTTAGAGCACGTGTATTTAGAACATCTTTGCAAGTTATATTTTAGCATAATACATATATCTGCAACAGCATATAAGAAGAAATCAAGATACACGAGTGCTTTTGAAGCTATTTCTAAAATGCTTTTCTGTATTGTTTGTGACTAGTTTCTTTAAAAGCTACTATACAGTGCAAACCATATGTGCTACACAATAACTATACAATAACATTACAAATGACTTTAATATAAAGTTTTTAAATAAAAAATAACATAACCACAGCTATGAATACTGCTGGTAAAATAAATTAATTTTTCTTTTTGGAAAATGGCACCAATAATACACTTGACTAATAGACTGTCATGAAATTACACCTTAGAGTCTTCCATTCAGCCACAGCGAATGAGCTCCTGATTGCCCAGATGTAATTCGAACAGCGTTTGTTTCTGTTTTGCTTCTGGACTGGGGAGAACGACATACTAAACACTGGTACCAAAGGAGGTTGCAGTTGGGGTGGCGTGTTGGGGGTGGAGGGTGGGCGGGGGCCGGATGTCGAGTGATGGTTTCATTTGACGTGTTCCGCAGCATGTGACGAGCAGTAAAACTTCTTGTGAGTGATAAAGTTTGAAAGGTTGTTGAACTGGATATCACACAGCCGGCAGTACTTGCCACTGGTGGGGGCCTGGCTGGAGCCATTGACACCTTTGGCGACGCTAGACAACTGTTCCTCGGCGGCCGAGGCGATGCCCGGGGAGACGTTCTCGTTGGCCGCCAAGGGGTTCTCGGCCACCCACGAGGGGGACTTGTGGCCCTCTTCCTGCGGGGGGTTCTGGGACAGGTTCTCCTGCTGGGGGGCGGCGGCTGGTCTCTCTTCGGGCTTCAGCCCCCCGTTGACGATGACCATGCCTCTGTTTTTGGGCAGCAGGGGCAGCGATTCCTTCTTGGGCACGGCGCACCCGTTGGCGGAGGCCTGGCCTTTGGGGGACTCGTGTTCCGCGTGGGTGCCCGGCTCCAGCTCGGCGTTGTGGAGGGCCAGGGAGCCCGAAAGGTAATCGCCGGGCTTGATCCCGTAGTAGGGAGAGAGCTGCTCGGCGCCCCTGGCCTTCTTGATGGCTCCGGGGTACAGGCATTGCGGGAGGAGCAGGTGTTTGCTCTCTTCCTTCGCGGCGACGAGCTGGGCCGCCTCGCCGAAGACCTTCAGGCCCTGCAGGGTGGCGAGGTGCGCGGAGAAGACGCTGCCGTTGGGGGACGGCTGCTTCAAGCTCCCGTTTTTCTCGCACTTGACGAGGCTGCGGTCGAAGCTGGCCTCGGGGCTGCCGCGCTCGCTCTCGGGGTTGGGGAAGGCTTTGCCGTCCAGCGGCGGCGGCGGGGGCGGCGGCGGCGGCGGCGCCAGGTCGTTCCTCTGATGCGCCGTGACCGGGCAGAAATTCTGCTTGTGGGCCAGGTAATTCTCCACCTTGTTGAAGCTGATCTTGCACACGGTGCACTCGTGGTAGTCCAGCAGCCGTTTGGGGGACGCGCTCGTCCGCTCCGCCTGGGGTAAGCACTTTTTGCTGAGGTCGATGGGCGCGTCCATCTCCAAGCAGGCGACGCTGGGGTGGGCGGCGTCCCCCTTGACCACCGGCACGCACTTGTTGATGCCCAGAGACGTTTCCAAGTGCTTGGAGACGATTCCGGGGAAGATCTCACACCGCGGGTGGTAGCAGTCGCCCAGCCCTTCCGGCGGCTCTTGGGTGGACGTGCACGGGCTGCTGAGGTTGGCCACGTCCAGGAACCGCTGCTGGACCAGCGGGGGCCTCTGCTCCTGCTCGGGCAGGCACATGTCATACATCTTCCTCCTCTTGCGGGTGCGCATGGTCCTCTGCACGGCGGGGACCTTGCTGGAGGCCGACCTTTTGAGAGGCGGGTCGTGGCGGGTGGCGCAGTAGTACTGTTTGTGCACCATGTATGTCTCGTGCCGGCTGAAGGTGATGTTGCACGCCTCGCAGGTGGTCTTACTGGGATCGCTCTCCCCATCCACCAAGGGCACGCTGGGGGGCTTCACGTCCACGGGCTTCCCGTTGATTTTCTCATCGCTGCTGCTGCTGGACACCGAGAGCTTCTTCGCTTGCGCGGCAAAATCTTTGTCGTGGCCCTTCCCGTTGGGCCCAATTAGATCCAGGACCGCCGAGGAGTTGAGGCAGGAGGTGGGCAGCAGCGGATTGTCTGCATCAGCAGCATGAGCAGCGGGGTTGAGGAGGCTCAGGGCGGTCTGGCCCGTGTTGGGGCTCAGGGCCTCTGGCATCTTCTCCGACACGCCGGGGAACTCGGGAGACTTGGCCATCTGCTGCCATCGGCTGCTGCAGTAATGTTTCTTGTGCACTAGATAATTATCCAAATTATTGAACGTGATGTTACACTCGAAACAAGTGGCCCCCTTGGGCATGAGCGGGCTGTAAATGACGGGCGGGTAGCTGCTGCTGCCGTGCCGCAGTCGCCTGTGGACCAGCTCGCTCATCTTGGCCAAGATCTCGGACGCTTGGGGGACCATGGTGATGTCCTGGGGGAAAGCGAACTGCGAGAGGAAGGGCCCCACAGGGAACGAGGGCCCCAGGTTCGGCTGGACGGGAGAGGACGCCAGGCGGGGACTGGAGGGCTCGGACTTGATCTTCGTGTAGGAGAAGCTCTGCTTGGTGGTGGCCGCAGGGATGTCTGGTCTCTGGCTGGTGAGAAAGAGGGGCGTCTTTTTCTCACACTTGTCCAGCTCTGTGTCCGAGCTGGCGTCCTTAGTCTGCATGGCCTTTTGGCCCCCAGCCGAGAGTTCGCCTCTAGCCAGGAGGTCTGGGGTGGGTTGCAGGCTGTCCTCGGTGGCATTTGGCGAGTGCTCCAGGTCACTCTCCCTGGTCAGTTTGCCACCGGGCACGTGGAGCTCCTGGTGCTGCAGCAGCTCGCGCTGAGTCTGGAAGCCGAAGTGGCAGTGGCTGCACCGGAAGGCGGCTTGAGTGAGATGGGAGAACAGGTGTTGGTGGAAGCCTATCACAGAATCTGCGGTGTAGCTACACACGGTGCATTTGAGGCTGGCCCCCGGGGGCAGGCAGTCTTCCATTTTCACTCCTGAAGAGACAGACAAAAGAAGAGCACTGAACACCGGGAGTGGAGTGCTGGGGCCCTAAGGCTAAACCACTTTTCTAGACCATCTTGCCTTCAGAACACCAGGATCAAAAAGTTTCCAGAATCTCACGGGTGATGCTCATCCTTCCCCTTTCCCCCACCCCAGACATGTTTTGTCATGTGTGATAATAGTATCAGTGCTTTATTATTCTCAAAGCACTTGGACAGGTCTCAATGCATCATACCCAGACAGACACCATTGCCTCAGCCTTATAGGTTGGGAGACAAAGTCAAAGATGCTATGAAAACAGACATTCAGAGATGGACCCGTGCCTAGATCTCAGATTTTATCAGGTCTCCTCCAATAACCTACTCATAACAGTGCTAGGCTCACATCAGGAAGTAGTAGTCGCTATTCATCATCTGTATACAGATGAAATAATTTTCTGTGTGTTAGACTAGGCTTTCGTTTATTTTATTTATTTTTTTTGGCTACATCTGACTGTTCAGGTCTTTCTCTGGCTCTGTGCTCTGGTATTGCTCCTGGTGAGCTTAGGGGACCTTATGGGTTGTCAGGTATCAAACCTACCGCATCCGCATGCAAGACAAGCATCCCGCTCACTTTACTATTTCTTCAGCCCCTACACTAGATTTTTCTTTTCAAAATAATCCAATAGGAAACATTTTGTAAGGTGTTCAATAACTTCCAATTGACCTTGTGTGTAAATTCTATTCTGATTCATCGATTTTGCCACAGTTTATCTCTGTCCAGAGCCGATCTTTAACTGCTGGTCACTAGTGCACTAATAGAGCCCCTTATGCTGCCATCCTTGCTGAGGTATTACCACTTATGCGGTGGGTAAATGTCACTAAGTTTCCCTTCGTTTACCGTTGTTGGCATCTGGTTAAATCAGGCTTGGAACAACCTCCTCACACTCCAAAATGAAAGTTTTCTTATTTATTTATAAGCTAAAAATATGGCAAAGAAGCCCCAGTCTGTTGTGGGGAAAGAGGATTTTATATGCATTTCTCCTGAACCTTTCTGATGGTCATATTCCCATTTAGGTCTTGAGATATCCTTTGTCTTTGTTTTGTGAATAAACTTCCCTTGCGTGTTCCCCTCCAGAAAACAGTTCATTTTGAGGGAAAGGATGGGAATCAGTAGAAAAATTTCCTACTTTTGTAGGTTCAAAGACAAAAATGGTCATTGTTCTCAAATGATGGAGGGGGGATTAAGCTTTACAAACTCGTACCTATTTTGGATTTTATTTACCCCAAGTAAAAGCACAGAAAGTGCTTCCTACAGATATCCCGCAGAATTTATGGTATAGGTGCTAAAAAATGGTGATTAGCAAACCTTGCTTTGCCCTGTTTGAGCATGTCTCTGCACATTCTATTTACTTCGATTCTTAAATACATAGTTTTACACTACAAAATTAACAATAATTGGTTATATAATTCCAAAATAAATACGAATTGTTGGTACTTACTATTAAGAATGGGTTTTTAAAAAATTGGTTTTCAGCCTAATTTTTTAAAGATATTTTAAAAATAATGTACTAAATTTTTTACATCATAAAAATTAACTAAGCTGTTATGAAGCAGGCTGTGGAAGGCAAGAGCATTTTATAGATCCATATTTAAAAATTAATTCCTCTCAAGAATGATTGTAATTGGATCTATCAAAATAACAGCTTTATTTCAACTCAGCAAATACTTATTTTTAAGGGCCTACTATTTATTCCCTGCCATGTGGGAAACAGTATGGTCAGTTTCCAAGATCAGTTGACACGTAAATCAATGAATATTAATGACAATACATAAAGACTAGCAAGGTTTTTCTAAGATTCTGTCATTTTTCTTTAGTTGAATAAAAAATTAGGATGATTTGATTTAAAATCTGAGCCCTCTATTGTTAGAAAAGAATTATACCTAGGTTCTTAGAGTAGAATATACTGACTGAAAGTGACATAGAAAAGAGAAACCAATAGATCCACTGAGTTTCATAGACACATCTGGCATGGTAGATAGATGATGATGCAGATGCATGAATAAATATATGCAGACATAGAGAAAGTGAGCCTTTGGGAACAAAAGGAGAAGCAAGAGAAGACTTACCGCTGTGAGAATTCAGGTGCATTTCCAGAGCACGGGCATTTGAAAAGCTCTTGGTGCATTGCGGGAAAGGGCACAAGCTAGAAATCGGAGGGGCACTGTCTTCATTTTCTTCTGACACTGGGGCAGCTTCTCTTTGCCGCCCACTGCAATAATACATCAAGTGGGCTTGCAGATTCCGCTCACTCCTATACCAGATGCCACAAGATTTGCAAGGGAATATATCTTCTGCAGACAAAGACACAGGGACATATTAGTTGCTGTCCATTTGGAACCAACCCTGAGGAAAGCCAGCACTTGGTTCAATTTTTCTCAGAGCCTGCTCTCAGGGGTGAGTTAGGCAATCAGATCCTGAGGAGGCCAGGCTTGGGTGCTGCTCTCTCAGACTGGAGGAAACTTTTAAGGACATGGCACACTGCAGGCAATTTACCTCCTGCAGACTCTTGAGACTGTGGAACTTTTGGAGACTCTAGCTTTTATTTTGGTTACGTTGTATTTAGGGTTTAGGAAAATAACTTGCAATTTGTAAAGAACGGCATAAATTGGTTTTCCTGATTGATTAAAAGGAAAGAATTTACAGAAGGAGAGGGATAGATATAGAATGACTACATTCATTTGTAGGATATAAAATACGTATGAAACTAATATCCAAGGCCAGGAGGATTAGTTAATGGTTGGAAATGACCAAATGTGTGTGAGGGTGGAGGGTACTTAAGATAGAGGAGGGTCCATTATGACAACATTGGTTGAAAATGATCACTCTGGACAAGAACTGAGCATTGGAAGTAGGTAAAGAAATATACTTGATAACTTTTCAGCATCTCTATTACAAACCATAATGCCTAAAATGAGAGAGAGAGAGAGAGAGAGAGAGGGAGAGAGAGAGATCCCTGTCATAGAGGCAGGCTGGAGCAGGGGGTGGTTGGGGGAGATGGGAGGGAAACTGTACACACTGGTGCTTGGAAGTTACACTGGTGGAAGGATGGGTGTTGGAATACTGTATGACTGAAACCCAATCTTGAACAGGTTTGTAATGCTCTATCTCATGATGATTCAATAAAATAAAACATTAATATTAAAAAGTAAAGGATTTAATAGCTATATTGCGGTTATCTTTGATGTCAAGTTATGACATCATTTGTTCAGTTGATACAATAATGTGATCAGGTTGGACTCTATGGTGACGAGATGCATGTAAATAGTCATGATAGGAGCTAGGGAGACAGAACAGAGCTTCATGTGCTTGTCTTGCAAATGGCCAACTCCAGTTCCATCCCTGGAAAATGATCCTCTGACCTCGACCAGGAGTGATCCCTGAGCACAGAGCCAGGAGTAAATCCCGAGTAGAGCCAGGGGTGGCTTCCAAACCAAACCAAACATCCAGAATCATTAAAGTGTTCTTCTGAAATTAATGAGTAGCGGTAGGAGAACTGTGCAAGAATGTAAGGTCTCTTGGATGGATGGGTCCGAAGGGTACTTGGGCCTGAAAGAGAGATGTTTGACTAGTGATAGAATTCAGATGGAGGCCAGGGGAGGTTAGAGACAGACTCTGAGGAAAGATGTTGCCAGGCCGTAGGCGAGTTGGGGAGGATGGATGTGAGCCAGGTGGAAAGAGAGGGCAGCCTTCCCTGAGCAGCTGGCTTTGAGTTGCTTCTGTACTGCTTAGGCTAGGGTTATGCTGGAAACTGAGAGAAGAGGTTGTCCAAGGCAGAGATAGACTATCAAAAGTCCTGATGGGGTTTTCTTTGGAAAAAATAAGTTTTAATAGAATTGAAGTAACATCATAGCTTTATGTGGTTTCCAATATGCATCATAGAAAATCAACACGAGTACAGACATTAAGTTTCATACAAAAAGTTCAATTCTATCCATCCCCAAATGTAAATCTTGGGGACTGGTTAGAGTGCCTGCTTCTCATGTGTGCGGCCCTGGATTCAAACCTTGGTACCACAAAAGAAAGGAGACTGGGTTTTCTTCTCTATGAAGACTCAAATAAAAAATAAAGAGAAGTGTTTGTAGAATCATGGCAGTGGATCCTTGTGTGGGAAGGAGTGAATTTGGAAGTCAGACATGACTGGGAGGAGGAAGGACAGATTCTAAGCAACATGTGAGGAGCCTGGAGGTGAGCCTTGAGTCATGCAGTCCTTCTCATGTTGCACTGTGACCCTCATGGAATACTTCTCTGTGTGTGTTTCTTCCTCTGTCCCCTCACAGAGGAAGAACTAGCTCATGTCACATAAGTGAGAGGCCTGGTATGGAAACCTCACATCAATATGCTTCTGTATGCCTCTGTATGCATATGAAACCTCATGCATATGAAACCTCACATCAATATGCTTCTGTATGCAAGGGAGGCAGTGATGAAGACAGTGATGTGGAAGATCTAGATGGGAAACTGGACAGAAAGCAGGGTTTTCCCAGGATGCTTGGTGGCACTACTATGCCAGATATGTGGCATTCATCTCCCAGAGAAACAGATAACAGGTGACGAGTGTGTCTAGTGCCCATACTAGTCAGACACTGGACTGTGCAAACTCAGTACTTAGGTAGTGAAAAGGGGCACTGATCAGAGTGAAGTCAGATGACACATTCTCTGGGAATTCTCCAGACAAAGGCCAAGGTCTACAGTGACATCATCCAGATGGCTCTGGTATTTCTGTGTGACGTACAGGAGGACATAGGAAAGGTGGTCACAGGGATATAGAAGATGTTAGAAACAGCTGGTCTTGTGACGATTTTTTTTGTAGTTGCTTGTGGAACCCAATTCAGGGAGATTGGACAGGAGGTGAAAAGGAGAGAAGCAAAAACCAAACGCTAGTAAGGGAGAACTAGAAGCAATAAGGACAGTACAGGATTTCGGGGCTGGAGTGATAGCACAGCAGGTAGGGCACTTGCCGTGCACGCGGCCAACCCGGGTTCAGTTCCCAGCATCCCATATATTACCGCCAGGAGTAATTCCTGAGAGCAAAACCAAGTATAAAAGTGTAATTCCTGAGCATCTCCGAGTGTGACCCAGAAAGAAAAAAAGAAAAAAAGGACAGTACAGGATTTCAAAATGAAACTGAATTGCAGAGATTTCAGAGTAGGAGACAAGTGCTGCTTCTTATTTATTCCACCCCACCCAACTGAGTTATACTGATACTACTCAGGGGATCACACCATTTATTTAGCAAGGCATTCATTTAAATGTAGAATGAGTTCCACCAGTTAGGCAATTTCAGAATAAGAATGGAAGCTGAGTTATTTGGGATTAATGGCTATATTGGTACAAGAAAGCACACAGTATAATCACAATTAAAATAAACATTAGAGTTTCATGAAAGTATAAAGGCATTCCTGGTGTCCTTGCTAACAAAATTCTTTTGCCTAGAATGAAAGAAAGAAAGAAAGAAAGAAAGAAAGAAAGAAAGGGAGGGAGGGGAAGAGAGAGAGAGAAAGAAAGAGAGAGAGAAAGAGGGAAAGAAAGGGAAAGAAAGGATGAATGAAAGAAAGTAAAGGAAGGAAGGAAGGAAAAAAGAAAGAAAGAATTTACATTAAGGAAACTCAACAATATGAGTTTATGCTAATGGGGTACTTGATTCAATACTTAGATGGAAAGTTATTTCAGACATATTTAAGAATTTGTTTAATCTAAAGGTCGTTTTTGCAAGAAAATAATTATTGTTAAATATTTATTTTTAAAAATGAAAACATGATTGTAATCTCTAGCTATATTTTCTCATCGTTCATTGTGAGGGATTTAGAAGGACATATTAAAGTAATAATTCTTATGAACTTAAAATAAATTAGATAAAGACAATTCTGTATGAAAATTCATGCAATTATATATAAATTCTGTAGGATTTTGCTTATATGTGTTAGATATAGGAAGAAAAAAATGAACACAAAAACAGAGCAAAACATAAATGATAAGAACAAAATATTGGTGGGTGACTAGATGGGAAGGAGAAGGAGATAAATAAGATGAGTAAAAGTGGATCAAGGTTATAGGGGTAGATGAAAACTCAACTGTGGGTGGTGATCATAATATGGTGTATATGACTAGGCAGAACTGCCTCTGACTCAGGTCTGGGCACCAGGTAGCTGGAGGGCTGGAGCACAAGTTTGCATGTAGAAGGATCAGATTTAATCCCTTATACCACCTCATTCACCAGTTACCACTAGGAGTAACCACCAAACACAGACCTGGAAGTTGGCCAAGCTAGACATCTACTCTTGGGGCCCAGAAAAAAAAAAACAACAAACAGCCCCCCCCCCCCACAAAAAAACCCATATTTAACTGAGTTGTAAAAGGCCCTCCCGTTGATCATCGATTTGCTCGAGCGGGCCCAGTAACGTCTCCATTGGAGACTTTGTTGTCACTGTGTCTGGCATTGTGTGTATAAGATATATATCATCATATATATACATATATATACATATTCACACACATTCACATACATAAATACATCTGGAGACTCAGCCCTGTGTAATCCTGACTACTGATTTTCTGTCATGTAACATTTCTTTTTGTGCATTCAAGGACTATAAAAACAGGTTTGTAATTATTTGAACAAAATATAATCACAAAGATTTACTTGTCAGGGCATATTTTAAATTTTACCATAAATATTATTCTAAGCCTTTGTGCATTTTTTTCTTAATTGTCTTAATTTTTTCAGAAGCTTGATTTACCCAGGTTACCATTCCTTTCAGTCTCCGAACTGGTTAAAATGTGAGTTGTGTCCATTATCTTTGAAAGCTTTTAACTCTAGCACCCTTAGAGAGCCCAGATCCTTCTGCTGTCTGAGCATGAATAGAGATGGTGGGTTTCTTCTAGCTCAGTAGCCTTGGCTTGTGCAACTCATTGAGCATGTCAGATTTTGTGTGTGACATTCAGGAATCCAACCTGAAATGAATGCATTTAAGTGTTCCTTTTATATTCCCTTAAAGTTTGTGAGATGATAAAATGAAATCACAATACAAGAGGAGAAAGTCCGTCCCTGGCTGCCTGTCAGTAGGCAGTTTTTTCTCCCCCACAAATACCCATCACCACTACAAAGCTATTGTACCAGGCGATTGCACTCAGCACTTACTATTGACAATAGCTGTAGGCAAAATAGAAGCCATGGCAGCTTGCTGCGGAAGCAGCTGAATTGAGTCCAGCAGGCGCGCAGGGTACATCCCTTCTGTAAGAGTCATCTGACTGGCAGCTTGTAGCCTTGAGTCAAAATCCACCACAAAGGCAATTAGCTCTTCACCCTCCGAGATGGTCTTCGTGGTTGTGCACCAAAGCTGACCTCCTATTAAGAAGAAAAGAGGAAGAGAAAGACAGCGCTGACACGGAGTACGTGAGTCTGTGGAACACTGGACTGATGTCAATAGCATCTCCTCCTGTCTTCACAGCTGTTCACCCGGGTGGAGTGTCGGATCAAGACAGCAGCTGGACTCCTGCTCCCTCCTAGGTGAAAGCTACATTCCTTGCTATTAAATGAAGTGTGATGGTGACCAGTAGAAGCAGAAGACTCAAAAGCAAGAGTAGGTGTCATTTGCAGAGAACTATGTCATTCTGGGCTTGCCTTATTCACTAATCAAGCTATTAACATGTAGTTCCTAAGTGTAGACTTGGAGATGAATCCAACTTCAGAACGTTAGACTTTGGAAGATGTCAATCTCTCTCTCTTTTTCTCTCTGTCTCTCTCTCTCTCCCTTCTCCCCTAATCTTTGTTTCTCTTTATTTCTCTCTCCAAAACACTGAATACTTTTTTTATTAGATCAATACCAGAGCATAAAACTCCAAAACAGGTCCATCCAAACTCCTGAATCTAGAAAGTGGCTATGAACTGCTGGTTCATCTTACTCTCCCTGTGCCGGCTGCCATTTGTTTTGGCTCACTGATCTTTACTTTATAGAATATTCTTTATAATGCGGCTTTCTTTATCTCCATTTACCCTGATTGAACTTCCTGGAAAGAAGATACGCCAAAGATCCTTTTCAAAAAGGCTTATTTAAATAAAGATTTGTTTAAATGAAAAGAACCCTTTCTTCAAACACTGAGATATACCCTGGCTCTGTGCTTCAAATGAGCACGTGAGGTGCATTAAAAAGAAAATTAACTACGCAAGTACATCTTCTAATGTATTGGAATGCGATAGCGAATGCTCATTTATTTCACATGTTTAGACAGGCAGAGCACTTATATATTGTTATCTATACTCTCAGGCCTAGATACATATCCTATACAGTTATGCCTGAAATAATGTGGCACACTTGATATGCCATAAAGCTTTTTTTCTTTTTGTGTATATACTACAACACTATACATTGTACTCATTAGGCAAGCAGAAATTGTACCCATTCTGATAAGTAATATTGCTCTGTTTATCTTTCAGCATAACAGTCTCTTTAACTACACTTCATTCCCCCCTCCGGCCCCCACGCTCAGAGGGATCATCGTTTTTAAACAACTGCTGGTCAAAATTTGGTGCAAAAGATACTAAGAGCATTTGATGTGGTAGAGTCCTGATGAAGACTCTGGCCTCTTCGCGAAACTTGGGTGGGTCTTTGAAACCAACTGATTAAATGTGAGCATTTAGCAAATAATGCACCACTGGGGAGATGATATGTTTGTGAAGATTATAGATCTCAAATGTGTGTGAACATTTCAAAGTAAAACACAAATGCAGAGAAGTGAGAAAAGTTTTTCATTTTCTCTTAGACACCAGTAGATCTAAGAGTAACTGTGTGGCAAGACAGAAATGCATATTCCCATGAGCATGTGCTGTGTTTATTTATAGATACAAATGGAACTAGATTCGCTGTCGGATCGGAAATGTGCACTAAAAAGTGCTCTGGTCATACTGCTTCCTCCAGGAAGGTGCCCCGGCTGCTGTGCCACCTTGAGTTGCAGGAAGGGCCCAACCACTCAGAGGTAGCGAGATAACCCTCTGCACCTTTGTCTGTCCTCAGGGATTTAGCTTATTAAGTGTCATGAAGAGGCGGGGAACCAAAGAGACTCAAAATGCAACTGAAGTTACCACTTAACCAGTTCTCATTATAGGACCAGGGAATAAAATGGCTCATGATACTTGTTCTCAGACTTTAAAACAAAACAATCCAATCAATCAACTTCACCAATATTGCATATGAAAAAAAAAGTGAGCCAAAGTAGCTTTTCTGAGGCCAGAGAGAATTTTTCTGGGGTCAGGGCGCTCAGCAGGCTGAACACGTGTTTTGCCTAGGGGAGGCCTGGATCCCATTCCCAGTGGGTATGCTCCCTCAAATACAGCCATGAATGGATTCCCAATGTTTTTGTATGTCATTAAACAGCCTGGAAGCAGTTGTAATGCATTATGTGTATAGAGAGATACATATGTATACACATGGACACATACATTTATACATATGTATTAATGTGTATGTATATAAAACATTATATATACATATATATTAAAATATATAAAATAATATTTTAGGCCTAGCGCATAATGCTTATTTTTTACATACTTGGCAGTGTTTTATATTTCATTATCTTTATCATTTTATCTCATTTTATGGTTCCAACGGAGCATATCCTCTTAAAAGGCTGAATTGGATTGAAAAGGTACTTTGTAGGCTTGATAAGGAAGTCAGTTGTCATAGGATTTAATCTTCCCAATATTTCACTCATCATCCATTCCCTGGATTCTGCTCAGGGACAGGCTGAGTGCTCTGGATTCACAAATGGCTCTACAATTCCATGCTACACACCCACACAGAGACCCCACCATCCCAAATAGTAGGGGTCTTTCCAAATGCAAGAGAAAATTGCAGAGACAGAATAGTTGCTATCTCTTGGGAGAGTCTGGAATGCATTCTATGTGATTTTTCATTACAAGACAAGTATTTGATTTTACTTTATTTGATTTTGATTTTTTTCCATACCCGAGGATGCTTGGGATTCTCTCCTTGGTGGTACTCAGGAAACCAAGGGGTGCAGAGGATTGAACAGCATTGGTTGTCTGCAAGGTAAATGTCTTAACACTTCTACTCACTCTCCAGCCTTCAAAGTGACTTTTTTATCAGCCCATCAAGAATAAAAATCTTAGCTAGCTATTTTACCTTAAAGAAAAGCATGTGGTCTATAATTCCCTGAATGTTTTGATAATTATCATACATAGCTACTCTTTTGAAAGTTTTGGGAAAAAAGGAGTATCTTTTAGCCTTCCTCTTATTTAAGCACTTATAAATATCAAATTCATGACACCTGAAATAAATTAAATTCTCATTCTAGGAGAGATACTGGATTTTTTTTTAAGATTTAAAGCGTTTGTATACGGATAATAATAAGGACATTTACAGGTATTTTACCCAGTTAGTAACTGAAATCATTTCCAGCATCCTATATGAGGCTGAGAAGACAGGAGAATTCATTTCCAAGTCTGAGTTAGGATAAATAGGATCAATTAAGAAGCTCTCCTAGTACAGAAAAATGCTAAATCCCATTGATATTTGGTTATTTTGATATCTTCCTTGAACCTTAAGGAAGTAATGTTAAATGAAATACACCATTTGCAAAAAGACAAATGTATGATTCTATGTATCTGAGGTACTTAGGATATTCAAAATCAGAGACAAAAAGGATGGTGGTGCTGAAAGTAGACTATAGACCAAACATGATTGCCACTCAATGTTTCTTTTGCAAACCACAACACCCAAAAGGAGAGAGAGAACAGAGGGGAATGCCCTGCCACAGAGACAGGGTGGGATGGGGGGGATGGGGGGTGGGAGGGATACAGGGATCCGGGGTGGTGGGAAATGGGCACTGGTAGAGGGATGGGTATTTCATCATTGTATAATTGAAACCCAAGCACAAAAATGTGTAGGTCTGTAACTGTACCTCATGATGTCTCACTATTAAAAATTTTGACAAAAAGGATGGTGGTCATCAGTGCCTGGGGGTGAGCAGAAATGCTGAGTCACTGATGAATGAGCATGTATTTCAATTCTGTGGAGAATAATTCTGGAGCTTGTTGTTGTGAGGGTTGCATGCTAATGTGAATGTACAATGCCTCTGAACTGTACACTTTAAAAAAGATGAAGGGGATAAAGAGATAGCCAGAGAGATGGGGCAGGGGTTCTGGAACTTTTCTTGAGTGTGGCTTACCCCAGTGAATCCTGGGCACTGGATATGGTCCCTGTCCCTCGTCCCCCCCCCCCCAACCCACCAGGGGTGAGACCTAATTATAGACCCAAAAGTAAGCCCTGAGCACTACTGGGTGTGGATGCAACTCCCCTCACAAATATACTTTACAGTATGTATATTAATTTATCATACATAATTTTTTTAAAGTATTTTTTTCACTTATAGAATTCCAGTAAGTTGGAGGCCAGAATATAGTATAGTTTCTAAGGCACTTGCCTTGCATGAGGCCAGCCCAGGTTCTATCCATGGAACCCCATAGCATCCCCAAGCTCTCCAGGAGTGATTTCTGAGCTCAGAGACAGGAGCAAGCCCTGAATGCCACTGATTGTGCCTGCCCCCATCACACACACACACACACACACACACACACACACACACTAAACAAGAAAAACCAAAATAAAAAATTTCACTATGAGTCTAGCAATTTACACACTTTGGGAGGCCTTGGCTCTAAAGAAAATATAACTTTCATAAAGTTTCTTTTATATAAAATGGCTTCTAAAAAAACAAAGTAAGGTCAGTTTCTCTTGATATTCTAGCAAAATAATTTCACAAACTGCCATCTTTAAGCTGCGTCTCTGAAGGAGTAATATTGCTGTGGAGATGAGTTGCATTTGGCCTCAATGGCTACCTTGACTGGCTGGAGTTTGGGTAATTGTACGGATCTGGAAATTGTGAGTAATGGAGTTCCTGTTACCTTGCTGTCTGGGTAACGGCCTGGGTGCCAATGTACCAATGACAGGGTCTTGTCAAATCTCGAAGGTAACAGAATTTGAATGGACTTAAGTGAATTTTCTGGTGGCTTTCATATGTGGTAGTATGTCTACTTACTGCCCCCCCTCCACCCCATATAAATCAAGGAAAATTTCAATGACAGTCCACACTAATGGCATACTGATATAAAAATAGAATTATGCAAAAGGGTTGCACATACACACTATTTATACGGTTAGATGTAAATGTAAATATAGCTAACATACATATGGCTAATAGAGGTTTAATTAATAAAACTTGCAACTTTCTTTGCATGACCATTCAAGAAAGCACAATAATTTATTTTTAGGGATTGCATGTTGAGTAATGAAACACAACTAACACCCAGGAAATTACTTTGTCCTC